AAACGATGTCAGTCTAGAGACTAAGGTGCACCTAATCCAGGTCTTCACAATTACTTGCTGTGCATCAGAGAATTGAACAATGACTAAGGATGATAAAAGAAGAATCGTTGCCAGTGGGTTTTTAGAGGCAGTAAATCTCAAGGGAGGAGAGTACTCAAGGGCAGATTCGAACCAGATGCCTTTGGGATTGCAGCACAGTTTCTTACCACCAGGTCACCAGAGCTCTCTAGTACTGGGTGGCACACAGTATTTGTTATCAAGAGAGTGTTGAGACAGAGTTAAGAACCACTGGTAGAAGGTCTGTGGGGGAGCTGAGCTGGGAGGATTTTTCCCAGTATGACTGGTCGCTGAAGCCTTAGTGTGGACATACTCATCCAGGGAGGGAAGTAGTATGAGAAAGGCAAATGGCTGGGAGCAGGGCCCAAGAAGCAGCAGTCAGAGGTAAAAGGGAAGCCAGGGGAGTGTGGTTGGGAAGCCACAACTTAAAAGAGTTCTGTGAAGGAGAGAGTGGATGACAGGGAGAACAGTGACTCAGCCCTCAGAGGTCAGGGCTGAGAGTGGTCCAGACTTGGCCACAGGGTTGCAGTCTACCTGGGCCAGTGAAGGCGGAAGCAACAGAAGGGTTCCCAGCAGCAGCTGCAATCAGAAAGACATCCCACTGTCGGAAGATGGGAAAGAAGAGCCTATCCTCTCCTCCCCTCCCCTTTCCACTCCTCCCCTCCTCCCCCCTTCCCTCCCCTCTCCTGCCCTTCTCTCTCCTCCCTTTCTCACCCCTCCCCACCCCTCCCCTCTCCTCTCCTCCTCTCTCTTTGTCTCTCCCTGTCTCTCTCTTTCTACTCTCCCATTTCCTGCCTCCCATTTGCCCACCCTCCTGGGACACAGTTCACAGAGGTCAGCAAAATGGAGAAGCACAGAGGATGGGACACAGGCAGAACAACCACAGCACCCTCCAAATAATAGTGAAGGTGTAGGGTCCTGTTGGGTCTTCCTGGTGTCTCAGTGGGGAGCATTTCCTCATCTCCATCCCTTGCTCCACATGGACCCTGACAATAACACTGGGCTCCTTTCTCACAATCCCTTGAGATAGAAACTTCCATTATCACTATTTGTAGCTAAAAAGCTGACGGTACGGAAAAGTAAAAACAGACCAACAAAAACTTGTCTATGGACACAGAAGGATTAGTATTCAAGTCTGTGGCCCAAACCTGGGCCTTCCAGCCTCTAAGCTTTATTGGCAGGTCTATCTGCAGCCAGTGAGGTGCTGAAAATCAGTGCTGAAAATCTTTCTTCATGACTTGGCAAAAGGCCAAGTGCTTTCAACCAAGGTTATTATTGTTAGGTGCTGCTGTGTCAAGTTGGACTCATAGTGATCCTGCGAACAACAGATCTGAACCCTCTCCTGTCCTGTGCCTTTGTCATCATCTCTGACACTCAAGCCCATTGCTGCTGTGTCAATCCATCTCACTGAGGGTCTTCCTCTCTTTTACTGACCCTCTACCTTTACAAGTAGGATGTCCCTTTCCAAGGAATAACCTCTCCTAGCCACTTGCTCAGAGAATGTGAGACAAAGCTTCACCATCCTCGCTTTTCAGAAGCACTCTGGATACATTTTTCCCCAAGATGTGTCTCTTTGTTCTTTTGGCAGTCCATGGGATACTCTGTACTCTTCTCCAAAACCACAACTTAAAGGCATCAAATTTTCTTCTGTGATCTTTATTCATTGTCCTGCTCTCAGATACATAGCAAGTGATAGGAAAAAAAAACCCACGGCTTGAGTCAGGTGCAGCTTAGTCTCCAAACATCATTGCTCCTCAGTAATTCTGAGAGGTTGCTGACAAGAGACTTGCTCAATGCCAATGCAATTAAGTGTCCTGATCTCCTGACTGCTGTTTCCAAGGGTGTTGATTTTGGACCCAAGTAAGATTAAGTTGTTGACAGTTTCAATTTTGTCTTCATTTATAGTGATGTTGCTTATTGATCCAGCTGTTTTCTTGATGTTGAGATGCAATTTGTAATGAAGGCTGTTGTGTTTGATCTTCTACAGCAAGTATTTCAAGTCCTCTCTTTCAGCAAGCAAGGTTGTGTTATCTGCACAATGCAGCTTGATGTGTCTTCCTCCAATCTTGCTGTCACATTCTTCTTCATAGAGTCTAGCTTGTCAAATGATTTGCTCAGTATACAGATTAAATAAGCATAGAAAGGATATAACCCTGTCACACACCTTTCCTGATTTTAAACCATGCTCAGAGAATAGCTTCTTGTCTAGGTGTAGGTTTTGTACGAGCATAATTAAGTGTTCTGGGATTCCCGTTCTTCTCAATGTTAGCCGTAGCTGTTATGATCCACACGGTCAAATGTCTTTGCATAGCCAATAAAGCACAAACAGACATTCTTCTGGTATCCTCTGCTTTTGTCCAGGATCCATCTGACGTCAACAACAAGATCCCTGGTGTCCTGGCCTCTTCTAAATCCAACTTGAACTTCTGGCAGTTCTCTGTCAAGGTAATGTTTGGGCTGGTTTTGGGTAATCAATATTTTGTTTGCATATGATATTAATGATATTGTTTGATAATTTCTACATTCTGTTGAGTCACCTTTCTTGGGAATAAGAACAAATATGAATGTTTTCCTGTCAGTCAACCAATGAGGAAAAAGCAAACAATTCCTGAGCTGAGTGGAGAGCTTGTTAGTGAATCTGGAATCAGGGATCCTGAGAATGGAAAAGACTGAAGTCAGAGAGGCCTGAATTCAAATCCTGCCCAGTCATTGTAGGGCCTTGAACAGCTAGGGGGCTTTACTTCTCTGGAACTCAGCTCTCTTTGCTGTAAAATGGGGTCAAAGTGTTGCTATGGAGGAGGTTAAATGAAATTATGTGGATTCTCTTGCCCCTCTCACACTCCTCCTGCTATGAGATCAGCTGTCTGGAGGCCAGAGGGGAAGATCTGGGGAAGTTGCATCTCTGAGACCGTCCCCTAGAGGGGCTAGCCCACCTCAGAGCCTCTTCCGATCTGAAAGAGGAAGCATGAAAGGATGATCTGCTGTTTTTAAACTCGGGCTCGTCTGCTGCCCTGGCCTCCTCTCTCCCCAGATTCGAACCAACAAGGACAGGTCTTGCGATTTACAGTAGTTTAACGACTACGCCCCAGCGCTCCCGCAATTCCTCGTTCAAGCGATCCCTTGAATCCCCCAGTTTCTCCAGCCCTTTCAGGACACTACCAGATCTGACCACGAGATGGCGCGTGGCCGCAGCAAGCCCCGCGCTGACGAGGGGGAGGCGGGGCCTCCTAGGAGCTTGGATCCGGGGCCACCTGACTTCCCGGGCTCATCCTAAACCACGTGCTCGTGTCTGTGTGTTCAAACGGCCCCAGAGGGCTCGCAGGAGTCTTGCAGCCCTACGTTTCCTCTTCCGACGCTGCCTGGAGCTCTTGGGAATCTTTGTAAAGCCGGATAAAATAAGCTTGCAAGTGTCAAGCACCTGCTTTAATTCAATAAAGCTTTTATCTTCACTTTAGGAAAAGAACTCATTGTTTTTCCTACTGGGTGGGGAGGAGCTTTGCTACCACCCTGGGAAAGGGGTCTCCTGTGTCTGTGACTGGTCAAGTCCTGAAGGTGAGTTGGAAGGAACAGAAGTTGAGGTGAAGAATGCAGATGAAGGACCCACTCAGGACTCTAGGCATTGTGGAACCCAGAGTGCCTGCTCGTCCTCCATGATGAAGTAGTGGTATATACCACCACCGTGCTCTGTGTATCCTTCTGCTCCTTTCTCAGACTTCTAGGTTCCCCTGCTCATCCCTCCACCACAGCCTACACCTCCCTTCATCGATGTTCAAATCTGTCTCACCAGATTCTGCTCTCTGGGTATCAGGGACACATGCCCAGAACCTAGAAAGAGGGACTGTGTGGGCTGAACTCATAGTCACATCATCAAACCAAGATATTACCAGAAGATGTGTTACCAGAGACCAATGGCTGATTTCAGGGAAGTCCCTTCAACAGGGGACTTCCTACCACTCACTGGAGCTGAAGGCACTGGAAGAATAGGCTGCAGTGTGCTTTATTTAATTTTCAATATTTTAGTGCCTTTGAGGTAAACTAAATTCTGTCACTCCTCTAGAGGAGTCTTCTTTTCTACCTGAAAAACATTCCCCTCTCCAGGCTATAAGCTGACCCTGGAGCAGGTATATATAATGTACAGCAAGAGGGTGTAAAGTTAGACAAAAAGTAGAACTTCCCAACAAGTGTTTGAAGGAAAGTTTACTTAGAGTTGCCATTCAGAAACATGGACTACTTTGGATTGCAGTGACATTTCTGGAAAGGCAAACAACTAGTAGTTGGTGAATTTAGGGAGTGGGAAGGGAGACCCAGCGGAGGTACAGGTGAGGTGGGGAACACTGAGAAGGAGTAGGTTGTGATGAAGAAACTATGTGTCAGGGCAGTTGAAGGCTTCTATGCACAGACCAGGTCCAGGGTCCAGGAGGATCCTGTTCACACAGTATAGATCTGGTTTGAGAAGAGAAGCCCAAGCTGCTTAAAATATGTCGTGGGTCTGGAAGGTGTGGGGGTAACAGAGGACTTGGGAGTAGCTGGCATCACCTGGTGAGAACAAAATCCCAGACAGACCCCTCAGAAAAGAAAATTCTCAAGGAGTTTGAAGACGTTGAGGAGGTGCGACTTGAGAGGGAAGAAGAGGGCTGGGGTGAGATGGAGCGGACCTGACCGTACTAAGTGACAAGGTCAGACCTGCAGGGGTCCCTGAGATGTCAGTGGAGCCCTGAGGCTGGGGACTGACCTGATGGCCTGGGAGATGGGGCAGACCGGACCCCTCCCCTACAATCGTCCCGAGACTGGAGCCTGGAAGGGCCTGGCGGGGGAGGAGCAGTGGGGAGGGAGGGGCCGGGCCTCTGTCCACCGCATTAGTGCTGGTTGGAGGGACGCATGAGGGGGGTGCCGAGCCAGCCAGGCCGCGCGTTCCCACAGCAGCGGAGCAAAGCGGGGCTGCCATGGCGCTGGTGAGGCCTGGAACTCGGGACCCCAGACGCCCCGCTTTTCTCCTGCTGCTGCTGCTGCTGCTCTGTGTCCCTACCCTAACCCTTCTGGCTGGTAAGTTGGGACCAAACTTTGGGGGGTGAGTAATCAGGAAGATCTTTCTAAGGCAAACCCTTCTCGGCAGCGAGGGCTGAGGGTGGACAGGTCTGCATGGGTTCCGGCCAAGTTGTGGGTTTATAGAGGTGTCCTGTTGGGGCCACTGGAATTTAAGAGGAGCTCTGAAAAGGTGAGTACGTTCTGGCACTTGGGGACTGTTGTGTGTCCGTACGTTTTTGTGGGAGGTGGTGGAGGTTTTCTGTGTGGAAATATTCTGAGATGCACGCTGTGAATTCCGGTGTGTTGTATGTTCACTGTAAGGGAAATGGAGTATTGGGGTTGAGGGATTTCAAGTTTGTGAGATACTGAGATTGGGGACTTATGGGTTACACGCATATCACCCCCAAGTCTGTTCTAAGTTGTGTGCCAGGTTGTGGGGCACAGCCTGAGAGTGGTTGAGTTGTGATTTGGATGAGCTGTCCTAAGGTGAGCTGTGAATTGTAACTGCAGAATCATGGTTGTGGCAAATCATGTTCCAGCATGAGTTGTGGGGTGTAAGTTGTCAAGTGGATGGAGCTGTGTCTTTGCTTTTGACATGCGAAAAGTAAAGCGGGCTTCAGACCCTTGTTTGAGATGCAAAATGGGGACATGAGGGCATCAAGCATTTTCTGTACCCCCTTTATTGTGTGTCAGCCTTGCTTGAGCTGGGGACTGGGGTGTTCTGGGTCCTTTGGGATGGTCAGGGACTAGGGTGCATGTGTGTGTCGCCTGCTACACCCTCCCTAGCATTCCTCAACGAAGCCGAAAGAGCTCCTGAAGCCACATCCCCATTCATCAAGCTTTTTAGCTTTTGTCCAAGTGAATTCATGTAAGGGGCTTGGAATTCTTCTTGGGGGGTCTGGGAGGTGTGCTTTGTCTTGGTCACTATAGCTACAGGGGCCAGGCCAAGGCAGTCCCCTGTCCCCATTGGGCAGGACTGGGCTTTCTTGTGGCTGAAAGAGCCCTGGATCCTTAGTTCTGTACAACTTACAGGGCATGGGGTCTTGGCACTCCTGTCCTCTGGCTTCTTGTGGGGCCTATGCTCACAGAGTCGTCATCTCCTTCTCTTCTCTATGAGGCTGCGAGGGAGGATGCACATCCCATTTTGCAGTAAAGAAAACTGAGGTTCAAAAAGTAATGGAGGTATGTGGGCTGGCTCTCAAGGTGAATCTGGAGCTGAGAAGAACCTGTTCCATGCTATGTGCATACCTGGGGTATGAAAGCGATCCTGGTCTGAGAAGGTGATTTCTGTTCCCTACCCCACAATGACGAAGAGATTGAGAGTGTTCACAGCTTCAGTTTGCTCGGCTCCACAGTCAACACTCTTGGTACCAGCAGTCAGGAAATCAAAAAGCATATCGC